TGCGAGGGCCGGGGGGAGGGCAGGGGGGAGACGGACAGCGGCTGCGGGACGGGGAGGAGACGGAGCGGACACAGAAACAGAAAAAAATATGCATGAACCTTACTTCTCGCAGGCCCGCGCGGAGTTCTTCGATAGGCGCGGGAGGCGGCGCCAGGAGGCGCCAGGAAGCCGCGCGGAGCTGCCAGGAGGTGAGGCGCGTGCCGTTCTTCGCTCCTCCAGCAGGGGGAGCAGGTCGAGCAGCAGGAACAAAGGGCAGCATGGAGGAGGAGAGGGGGGGGGAGGAGGGCGGCGACGGACGGCGTCCGCGGGACTGGAGGAGCAGGAGCGGGAGCGGCAGGAGGAGGAGGAGGAGGAAAAGGAGGAGGAGGAGGAGGAGGAGGAGGGGGAGGAGGAGGAGGAGGATGAGGTGGAGGAGGATGAGGTGGAGGAGGCGGAGGCGGAGGAGGAGGAGGAGGAGAAGGAGGAGGATTAGGAGGAGGAGGAGGCGGAGGAGAAGGAGGAGGAGGAGGGGGAGGGGAAGGAGGCGGAGGCGGCAAGGGGCAGGAGGGCCCGCCGGCATCTGCGAGCCAGGCGGCCCCGGGCGCTGATGGCGAGCGGCGGCAGGGCGCGAGGCAGCCACGGGGCTCGCGGCGGCACGGAGCGCGCGGCGGCGGCACGGGCGCACGGCGGCACGGCGGCAGCGGCACACCGGTGAGCCGAGCCACCGCCGGGCACTCCTCGGACGGCCTCGGCCTCGTCGTCGTCCTCCTGCTCCCCTATCCTCCTCCTCGTCCCCAGCCGGTTCTCCCTCCCCATCATCAGCTGCATCCCCGTGATCCTCCTCCACGTGCAAAACCCCGAGGAGGGTTCTGCACGGGAGCTTGGCGACAATGATAACGATAGGTCACCTTTATACTCCCGAACTGCGCAACTGGTCGATGCGACTTCGACCGTTAAACACTTGAGCCAAAGGCAGCGGGGTTGCTATACCTCCCCTGTCACACGCATGCTTGCATGTTAACACCCCCCTCGGACGCCAGTCCGCATTGGCTGACGGGGAGGTGCTTGTAAACACAAAGACAGGTTAAATCAAGCGACAGGCTGCGTGAGTATCGTCACACTGCCGAATTCGAAATATCTCATAACCACGTTCACGAGCACCACGTCTCTCAGACATGTAACGTGAGCTCAAGTAAACATTCAATCAGTTACGAGTTTAAAAGTAGCATCCAAAGTTCACACGGCAGGCTAGCATTTACATGGTTTTGATTGCTTTCGCTTTTTATGCGCCAATACCTGCGGTAACTATAAAAGATGCACATGCAAATAGATTCAGCTCAATAGTCTACCGCAACGCTATTGTTAAGCCTGGTTGAGAGGGGAGATGAGGGCGAGCGTAAAAGAAAGACATGCCGGTCACCAGTTACCGTTTACGACCGGCGCGGGCGCCTCACTGACGGAGCACGCGCGCCCCTGGACTGCGGTAAACCACGGTGCCCCACGCTGGCCGCCGTATAGGACGACACCCTGTTAAGGGCCTGCGTCGGGCTGTAATAGTCGGTGTCCAGGTACGCGTTAATGCGCTCCTCGTCGTCCAACCAGCACCCCTCGTCAAAGCTCTTCGTGGACCCGTCAACAATATTAAGTACCAATGGCCCTCCAGTAACTGGCGTGGGGAGCCTTCAGCAGAGGTTTACCACCTGGATTGTTGCGGAGGTGCTCCTCGACCGCAACTCCGGTAAACGGGTTCACGGGCCAGTAAGGGTCGGTAAGCCAGTTGGCAAAGTCGTCACGCGGCAACCACCCGAACCAACAGAGCTTCTCGCGGTGGTCAATCTTACGCTCGGTAATGTGGTCCGCAGGCCAGTTGTCACGGTAGAGCGCCCTCATGGACCCCTGGTCGTTAAGAGCGACCTCCAGGATGGTCTGATGCCAGTAAACCGGGGGCTTGTTGATGCTGCCCTTTAACTCCTCGGCGCTCCTGAGCTCCAGATCCTCGATGAAGTAGTTGCGGTAATATACCTGGAGCCCATTCATATAACGACAATAGAGCTTAGCGAGGTCGTGCGTCGCAAACCTGATCACGGTAACCCCAGTTGAGATGTAGCCGTGCGGTCCGAAGGTGTCTTCCACCAGGTGCTTAACGGAGACCACGGTGGGGTTGCCGTGGGGCAGCATCCCGGCCCACGTTAGCAGAAGGCCGTTAAGCTGTTTCTCGTTCATTTCTGGCGCCTTGTTGACGTAGACCTGCGTGTCTGGGCAGCTGTGAACGTCGAACCACATTGGGTGGAGATCGTTGACGTGAATCGGCGGCACGTACTCGTCGTCGAACAGGGATTGTACGTGCCCGACCGCGTCAACCCACTCGTCGTGCTTTTCCAGCTCCTTCTCCGTCAACTGAGACCTCCAGCTGCTTGGGCCCTTTAACACGGAGTAACCAAGGAAGCCGTAGGCGTGCTGCCCGTAAATGTCGACGAACACCTCGTCGTAGTCGTTGAGTTCCCGCCCCGTGTTGCCCGGAATAGATCGACCACCTGGAGTCGTTAACCCCTCTTTTGCCACGTGTCCGACGAAGTTGCCTTCGAACCTGCGCCAGTTGTCGCGCGTCTTCATCGTTAATGCGACTATCTCCCTGGGGTCGGGCTCCACCTTGTAGTTGACGTCGTGGTCCTCGCTCTTGTCGTTTACCATTGGCATGCGGCCGTTGACATGATACAGTGGCCGGTACATGCCCCTGGCGACGTTCCGCGAGTATGCCGCAAGCTGCTCGTCCGTACGGTTAACAGCTTGAGGCTGCGGTGGAGGAACATACTGGGTCGATAACTTCTTGGGCACCGGAGGCGGGGGATTCATGCCGCTAACACTGCTTGATGCACCTGACTCTCCAAGGCCTGGAGGAGGCGGCTTGGGCGCCCTCGCTTTAATCACTGGGGCAGGGCCTTTTGCTGCTTCGTCACGTTGACTGCCCTGTGCACGATCTTCATCCATCTTCATTCCCAGCTGCAGTAACTCTTCCAATTCCCGCTTACGCTCATGCATGGCCTTGGGTGCCTTCTTGTAAACAGGTTGAGGCGACGTTGACTTTGGGATCTTATTCGGCGACACGGATCGACCGAATCCTCCGGTCTTGGGCGTGGTGCCGGTAAAGCCCTGAGCCGGGGGTGCACCCGATGCTGCGGCAGCTCGGGCTAGAGGCTGGCTGGCCCCGGCCGTCGCGTTGACTGCAGTGGGAGGTGCCTTGGCGACCACTGCTGTTGGTGGCTGCTCGGGTAACGGCGGAGGAACCTGCGGGATGTTGGTAACCGGGGAGTTGATCGGGTCATGCACGAACCTCTGTAATCCTTCCAGCCTCTCCGTTACTGCCACCAACAGGCGTAGCGCCGCATCACGTTTACCCTCGAAGTCCTGCAGGGGCGTGATGTTATCGGTAAGGCGCTTGGCGGTGTTCAGGAGGTAACCAATGTTGTCGTTGATGCGCCTATACTTGGTTGCATTCTCCTCCGTGTTAACCCCCGAGTCGCGGTTCTGAATGTTCAGGTCCGTAATCGTCGCCATCAGGTCGTTAATCTCCTTCTGTGCCCTTTGGAGATTCTCGTTGACGTCGTCACTGTCCTGGACCAGCGCATCGTTCTGCCGCGTCAACTCTTCGATCCTCGCCGCCATGTCATCCGCGGCCCTTTGCACCTCGTCAACGTGTTTGTCGTAGGCTCCGTGGAAGTTAATCGCCATGTTAGTGAGGGTGACGGTAAACGCGTGGGCAACGTGCACCATGTCGTCAACGCGGCGGTTGAGGTCCTCACGCGTAACCGGTCCATCTCCAGCTGGGCTCTGGTCGACCATGGAGCCGTTGATGGTGAGGTTGACCTGGGGAGCCGCCATGCTCTCGTTCACGCTCAAGAGTGAGAGGTGATGGGTGGAGAAGGCCTTTAATAGCTGCAGTTTGCTTGACAGAAATGAGCTGCGGACATCAACATTCGATGCGTCAACATTCAGTGGCTGGTGCAAGCTCGTGCCTGCCTGTTAATGCACATTGATTCGTGTTTCGTAGATGTGTGCTCATGCTTTCACGACTGACATACTTGGTCAACGCATCTGCTGCATTCTCGTGTGTCCCGACTTTCACAATACGAATCACTCCCTCCTTAACTTTCTGCTGTAACCACAACTGACACACCTCGATATGTCTTACCTTCCCCAATCCTCGTCTGCTTGCGATGGCAATCGCAGCTGTGGCGTCACTCTTCACTGTAATCTCAACTTCCAAGTTAAAGTCTCTCAATACTGCCTGAAGTCCTAAACCCACTGATCCTCCTTTCACCAGTCCGTAATACTCTGCTTCACCTGACGATAACGCAATTACACTCTGAGTCGTGCTCCAGGACTTTATGAGATGTTTACCCCACATCACTACTCCCCCACTCGTAGACTTCCTCGTTCGCTTACATCCTGCGTAATCTGTGTCAGTCCAAATGGTTAACTCTTGGGGCTGCTCCTGATATTGATACACATAGCCGCTTCTGCTGTGGCACTTCAAATACTTTCCTAACTTGACTAAACCTTTCCAAGAGCTCATCGTGGGCTTTGACATGGTCCTAGCGAGTTCCTTTACCGAATACTGTATATCAGACCTGTCCTGAGCTAAGTAATTTGCTCTGGCCGTCAACGCTTGATATCTTTTAGTCATGTTGGGCGAAAGTTCTTCCTCATCTCCCTCTTCAACTGGAATTCGCTCACCTGGCACTTCAGTCCTCACCTTTACTCCTTCTAGCTCAAGCTCTTTCACAATTATCTCTGCATGCCTTTGATCTGCCTCATACCTCAACCCTTCCTGTGTCCATTCCACAATCCTGTTAAGAATTCTGATCGCTTTCATGTCCTCCTTCCCTGGTCCAAGTCGTCCTCTCACTTTCACTTCAAACTCCTCCTTGATTTTATTGTCAAACCAGTCGAGATCATGATCACCTCCTAACAGCGTGAAATCATCTCCATGAACTGTTAACCATAACGCTCGACTCTCAAGCTTGAACACACATGGTGATGCAATTCCACTCTTAAACCCAGCTTCGTTGGCAAAATCCATGTATCAGTCCTCCCAGTTACTCGCAGCATATCTGGTTCCGTACATTGATTTTAACAGCTTTCCGCACATACCTGGTTCATAGTCTTCATCTGGTAACCTGATAAATATGTCTTTCTTTGCCGGAGCATAAAAGTAAGCTCGTTTGATGTCAATGAATGCTAGTTTTAATCCTTTCTCACGCTCACCACTCGTGAATCCAACTCCCTCGGTAACTGCCATTGAGAAAAGCAGTTTTTGTGCTTCCAGTGGAGGTGTAGCTGCGAATATGCTCTTTTCTTTGGAGTTGTATTTAACTTGCTGGGCTACCAGCCTTGATCTGTGGTCTGGGCTTAACTCATCTCCTTTGTTGATGTCTATCCATCTGGTTCCGATGGGCGCCTTTCCCGTGATTTGCCAGCATACTTCCTCTTTTACTTTCTCGTAAACTTTGTGTTTTCTGAATTGCTCCATTTCTTCTTGACGTGCTTTCACAGTCAATTTAGGGTCGAGCTCGTTTCCTGTAACATCATCCCAAGCTTGAATAATATCTTCGTTTTCTTTGTGGACAACGTTGATCGTGTTCATCGGGAGAGGGTTAACTGTTCCAGTTCTTTCGCACGCCTCACACGTACTAGGCGTCTTGAGCCATCCCTCATGCTCACATGCACAGCATTTCCA